GCACTTTGGGAGGTGGAGGCAAGATTGCCTTAGCCCACGGGTTTGAGACCAGCCTGGGCAACATGGCAAAGCCTTGTCTCCACAATAAATCAAAAAATTAGCTGGGTGTGGTGGCACACGCCTATAGTTCCAGCTACTTGGAAGGCTGAGGCGGAAGGATTGCCTGAGCCCATTAGGTCGAGGTTGCGGTGGCCGTGCATGTGCCATTGCGCTCCAGCCTGTATAACAAGAGTGAAACATGAAACTCTGACTACAAAAAAAAAAACTTTGTGTGAAAGTCAAACCCAGTACTTAAAAGCTGAAAACTTACACAAAACAGTATAATGCTAAAGTTAGTGGCATATACTAAATATGAAACTGAGACTTTTTTTCTGTTTTGAGCAGGAGTCTCACTCTGTCACCCAGGCTGGAGTACAGTGGCCACTCCCGGCCACTGCAGTCTCAACCTGCTGGGCTCCAGCGATCCTTCTGCCTCAGCCTTCTGAGTAGCCGGAATTAATTTTATAAATCTGATAAATTTACTTGTAAAATTCATAAATGTCTTGAAGATTATCCTGCTGTTGTTAATTTCTACTGCTTATATAGGTATTAGTCCTTTAAGGAAATCTACTCTGCAACATTAAAAGAAATGAAAATGAAAATAATTTATTCCACGATGCACCAAATTTTATATTTTAACTGCAATAAAGAAAGAATCTCTGCATACTTCTGACAACTTTCTACATTCCAACACATAATTCCATTTTCCCCTACATACCCTCATCTTTCTGATTTGTGGCTGTCTTCTCTACACTTAACATACCAAACTTTTTTCTTTTTGTTTGGCAAAGCACACATCAGTGATTTTGGTATAAAATGTCCATACTGTGTGAATAGGGAAAAACGTTTAGGTGTAACAAAAATATTCTCATATTTTTTCTAATAAAATTTATATTGTATTATTTATCCATCATAATGTATGTAAAAATATATAGGCCCAAAAGAATGAGTGTTTTTTAAATCTTCAGGACTATCTTTTGTTGACTGCATTTGTTTTCCTTTTTTTTTTTTTTTTGAGTTGGAATCTCAGTCTGTCCTCAGGCGAGGGAGTACAGTGGCACGATCACAGCTCACTGCAGCCTCGACCTCTTGGGCACAGGTGATCCTTCTGCCTCAGCCTCCACTGTAGCTAGTACTACAGGCATCAGCCACCACACCCAGCTAATTTTTTTCTAGAGACAAAGTTTCACCATATTGCCTAGGCTGGTCTCGAACCCCTGGCCTCAAGTGATCCTCCCACCTCAGCCTCCCAAAGTGCTGGGATTACAGGTGTGAGCCATCACACTCAGTCTTGTTGACTGCATTCTATGTATTATTTCATACCACTCATTATTCATATTATTTGTACATTTTTAAGAAGAAAAATTAGGAACTTCCAAAGTTTATAACAGATAGGTAAATGCAAAACATAGCAAAATGTAAAGCTTACTTTCTTGAGCAATATATGCATTATACTTTGTACTGTTTGGCTTCAAAGATGAAATGACTAGATTCCTAGATTTTTGTTACAAACAATGTGAACAAAGTACAATATATTTTTATAGATCTTGAATTCATGCCCAATGTTTATGGGATCACAGGCCAATAGAAAATACTGCTAGTCACTGGGGAATAATATTTAATGACAGAAAGAAAAATGGCCAAGTATGGCAGCTCATACCTATAATTCCAGCACTTTCGGAAGCTGAGGCAAGAGGACTGCCTTGAGTCCAGGAGTTCGAGACTAGTCTGGGCAACATGGCAAGACCTTACCTCTACAAAGGATCAAAAATGTAGCTGAATGTGGTGGTGCATGCCTATAGTCCGAGCTATTAGGGAGCCTGAGGAGGAAAGATCGTTTGCACCAAGAAAGTCGAGGCTGCCGTGAGCCATGATCATGCCACTTGTACTCCATACTGGGTGGCAGAGTGAGACTCTGACTCAAAAAAAAAAAAAGAAAGAAAGAAAGAAAGAAAAATAGCCAGGCATGAAGAGAATGGGGAAGAAAAGGAGAATAAACCAAAAGATGATGAACCAAATATAAAAGGTGTATTGAGAAACTGAAAAAATAAATTCAGGACATAAATATTACATTGTGATATTATGATACTTACAGCAAAAATCTAACTTGATTGTTAAAACAAATTCTCTTCTAAAACTGATGTTGTTGAGTCGGGTTCAGTGGCTCAATCTGTAATCCCAGCGCTTTGGGAGGCCAAAGTGAGTGGACTGCCTGAGCCCATGGGTTTGAGACCCGCCCAGGCAACTTGGCAAGACCTCATCTCTACAATAAATAAAAAATTAGCTGGGTGTGGTAGCGTGCACCTCTAGTTCCAGCTACTTGGAAGGCTGAGGTGGAAGGATCGCTGGAGTCCAGCAGGTCGAGGCTGCAGTAGCCAGGAGCGTGCCACTGCCCTCCAGCCTGGGTGACAGAGTGAGACTCCAACTCAAAAAAAATAAATAAGTAAAAATAAAACTGATGTTGTTAATATAACATGTTAAATATATTAAATGACAGGTAGGATAAGGCTACAAATCTTATTTGGCTATGTTTGAAAACTGATTTATTTCTCCCCCAATCTAAAAGTAGTCTAAACTGGTCGTAACTATGAAAATGTCTTTTTTTTTCTGAGTTGGAGTCTCACTTGTCACCCAGGCTGGAGTGCAGTGATGGTCACTGCAGCCTTGACCTGTCAACCTGCTGGGCTCCAGTGATCCTTCCGCCTTAGCCTTCAAAGTAGCTGGAACTACAGGTGCACACTACCATGCCTGGCTAATTTTTTGGTTTATTGTAGAGACAAGGTTTCACCAAGTTGCCCAGGCTGGTCTCGAATCCCAGAACTCAGGCAATCCTCTTATTTCCACCTCCCCAAGTGCTGGGATTACAGGCGTGAGCCACCATGCCCAGTTAAAAATGTTTTATTCAGGGAATTTACTGCAGAAATTCAAACACTGTAATTCTACAACTCAACAGTTTCTTAATGTGATAGAGTCCCCCTCCCAGGAGGTCTTCAAGAAAAGAGCTATTTATTGTGAAAGTTGCAGGTATTAATGAACCAGAAAGCAATGGCTGAATCAGATCAGCTCTGTAATTGGATATAACTAAAGTCACAGAGTAATGCTAATATCACCAAAAGAAGAGCCTACCATGCAAATATTAACCAAATAGTTGAGTTTTCAAAGACACTTTGAGTTCTGGATATTTTAACTAGAAGAATCCCAATAAGCCGGGCTCGGTGGCTCAGCCTGTAATCCCGCGCCTTTGGGAGGCTGAGGTGAGAGGACTGCCTGAGCCTGTGGGTTCGAGACCCGCCTGGGCAGCGAGACCTCATCTCTACAATAAATAAAAAAATCAGCCGGGCATGGTAGCGCATGCCTGTAATTCCGGCTACTCGCAAGGCTGAGGAAGAAGGATCGCTGGAGCCCAGCAGGTGGAGGCTGCGGTGGCCGGGAGCGGCCACTGCACTCCAGTCTGGGCAACAGAGTGAGACTCCAACTCAAAAAAAATAAAAAAATAAAAAAGAATCCCAATAATACATTACATACTTTGGATCCTCCTTTAAAGTGAGAAACTCATGTCTAAGCATATGTGCACAAGTACCTTAGCCTCTTCATGCCTGCCTGGCCATCCCACAGTTAGAGAAGGCAGGATAATTGGTGAGGCATATGTTTATGAGTAAAGACAGGAAAATTCCAACTTTAAAACCAAATATTTTCCTTGTTTAATTCTGGTATCTTATTGGTCCATATGCTGCCTCCTCCTCACAGTATGGTAGCAAAATCCCCTAGATTTTTGACTTTCTTTTAAAGCATAATGATAACATCAAGCAGACAGAACTGAAGAGTGAAAATGCTATATGAGAAAGCAGAGCAAAACAGATGATAATCTAAATGAACACTTGACACGCTTGCTGAAGACATTAGGTGCTCTATAGATGCTTGTTGAAATGCTGTCTGGCAACATTTGCTGTGAAAAATTCATCTCTTTCTGTAATGTAAAAATTCTCATGAGTTAACCACAACGAGTTCAGTATGATTTAACAGAAACATCTGGTGGTGCTTTTAAATGCTTAAGGACAGCATTTCACAACTATGCCTGCCCTACAGCCACTGCAGCAGAGAAAATGAGGCCAATGAGAAAAGCAGAGACAAATATCAGAAGAGTCCTGAACACATCACTTGTTTCTATGGATTTGGTCTTGCTTGATACCAGCCCCATTCCGAGATTTTCTATAGAGTATCCATTCTTACGTTCCTTTTTTCTTTCTGGCTTAAGCTAGCTAGATTTCAGCTTTTGTAATTTGCAAACAATAGAATTCTAGTATAGAGTGCCTGTCTAGGGCAAAAGAAAATCTTGTTTCTGCCTTCACAACATTCATATGTATATCAGCATGCCATCAGTGTCCTTTTATGATCATTGATAAGATGACTGTGACTAACAGGAAAAGAAATGAAAAAAGTTTGAGAAATAACCACAATCCCTCTTAGAGAGTCAATACATATCCATATTATAAAGATTCTGAGAAGTTATTCACTAAAGAAATCTCTTTAACATAGCTGAATTCACATTTATAAATCATATTTGAGTACGAAATCGTTCTTAATAAACTTATATCTTTTAGAACTACTAACTGATAGAATACAGCTGGGAAACTAATGGTATAAAGCAAGATTCTTTGCAAAAAGGCAGTTCCAAATATCAACTATAAATAAATGCCAGCTAAAAATCCTCAGAGTGTTGAAGAGATCACCTACCACATACAACCTGGTAATACACAAGTAAGATGGAAATGTATAGGGGCATTAGATGATTTTTTTTCCCCACATTAGTTGGAAACCCTAGATCCAGCATTGAAGCAAAACTGAAACAAGCATTTCTATCTGCTTAATATACTTAAAATATAAAATACACTAAGAGAAAAATCACAGAACTCAATTTTGAATGTAAAAGTATTTTACATTCTATATTGAGACTAACTTACCTGCATTGAAATAAGAATGAAGTCAATTAGGCTCCCGATTCCACAAAACCCTACAGTGCAAAACTTTAACAAACCTAGAAAAGAAAGTAAAATCATTTATAATCTGGAAAACCTTACAAATATAAACAAACTATTCAATTTTACAATTGCCATTATATACACCAAACTATACCAAGAACGTAAAAGTACCGCTTTAAAAAATAAAATCCTAGCTGGGCTCGGTGGCTCAGCCCGTAATCCTGCACCTTGGGAGGCTGAGGTGAGTGGATTGCCTGAGCCTGCTGGTTCGAGACCCGCCTGGGCAACTTGCTGAGACCTCATCTCTACAATAAATCAAAAATTAGTCGGGCATGGTAGCGCACGCCTGTAGTTCTAGCTACTTGGAAGGGTGAGGTGGAAGGATCGCCGGAGCCCAGCAGGTCGAGGCAGCGGTGGCCGGGAGCGGCCACTTCACTCCAGTCGGCGACAGAGTGAGACTCCAGCTCAAAAATAATAATAATAATAAAAAAATAAAAAAATAAATAAATAAAATCTTCACCTGAAAATATGAGAAAAGTTCAAAGGAACCTTCTATATATAAAAGCCACAAAATAATTTATTAATTCATGTAAATAAAAATTAGTAACTGAAGGAAACACTCAATATAATCTTAAAAAATTTCTAAGAGAAAAGGCCTAAGAAAATAATCTTTAACTCAGTATACCAAACTTACAGAGCATCTATTAGTCCTAAAATCCTTAATTATTTACTTAGATCCATATATTATGTGATTCAAGTTTCATACAATTAGAATATTCATATATATAAATTATCAAGTCACAGGAAAATAATCAGGAAAACAACACTGACCTTCCTGCAAAATTGCAAAATTTTATTAGTAACTCAATTATCTTTGATTTATCCTATACTTTTTTCCCCTAAGCCTCCTGTTTAGTAAAAATCAGCAATTTTGTGCTGGGCACTATATACAACTTTGTTTTTGGCTCCAACCCAAGAGCTAAGATTCAAAAACAATTAATGGAGAATTAATCTACAACAATCTACAACATCTCAAAAACATGATGATTATAAGAGGCATATTGGAGGTGGGTTGGGATAGGATGATTAATCTCTCATGAATTTAAAGTTGAGTTTCTTACAAAACATCTCATTTGAGATACAAAAAATGGTATACAACAAGATTCTTTGTGAAAAGTAGTTCCAAATATCAGCTACAAATAGATGCCAGCTAAAAATTGGTCTTAAGAGTGGATGAGAGATCACTTTCCACGTACAACCTGGAAATACACAAACAAGATGGAAATATGTAGAGATATCCGATGATTTTTTTCCCACATAAAATAATGTTGTAAGTACAGAAATAACACGTTAGAAGTAATTTAATAGCTATTAAAATGCAGATATCACATATCTTGCTTCTGTTTTCTTCAAAATACTTATTATTACACCTACCTAACGCTTTATCTTGATTTTACTGCCTGTCTCATGGAAGCCCCATTAGGGCAGGGACTTTTATCTGTTTTGTTTATGTCCTTAGTGCCTACAACACTGCCTGCATATAGGAGACATTCAATATTTGGCAAACAATTGGATAAATCTTTTCATATTTGCTTCCCAAACACCCCTATGATTTTATGTTACCTAGTAATAACTCCTTTACATATTTTTCACTATTTTGTTTTACTATAGTAGTCCCAGAAACTTGTCTGCTGAAATTCTATCTATTCACTCAGCATATTTTATATTTCTGAAATGTATCCCTCTTCCCATAGCAGTTTACTGTAAATCTGGAAATATCACAGCTTCCGTTCCTTCAATTTGTTTAGAAAAAGGAGTATTAAGTATGGTCCCACAAAAGCCAAGTCTTTAACTACTGGTCTATGAAGAATAAGTAACTGTGTCGGGGCCTGTGCCATGAATGTGCCATCTCCCAAGGATCTTCCTCCTGGAGCTCTTCTTATCCTCAGGCCCCTCCTTCAGAGAAGTCTCCCCTACTGGCCTGTCTGAAGCAGTAATGCCGTCCGCATGACCCAACCCAGCTGCCCTGCCACATCTTCCTGTTGGCCTCTTTCAGAGTATTGACTGTAATTCTGTAACAGCCTCATGGACTCGTTTGTTCATTCACTGTCTGTCTTCCTCTGGAAAGTACATTCCTTAAGAGAGGGGCCTTATCTGTCTTATTCAAGTTGATGCCCTGTGCAGTACCTGACAGACAATAAGAGTTCGAAAAATATGTGTTGTATGAATAGCAAAAAACTGAAAACACAGAAGGACTGCCTGAGCCTGGGAGGTCGAGACTGCAGTGAGCCATGATTGTACTACTGTCCTCCAGCCTGGGCAACAGAGTGAGACCTGGACTCAAAAAAAAAAAAGAAAACCCCAAAACCTGAAAATAATCTAAATGTTCAATAGGGAGGAATCGTCTAAAAAAAAAAAAAAAATTAAGGTACAATGATAAAAGAAAGAACATTATTCAACCATCTTAAACAATAATATTTTCAAATATCAGAAGTATATTTCCCAGTTAAGTAATATAATAACATTCATAACAGAGTGAGATGATAAGTTCATGAAAATCTAGATATTCTGCTGTCCAACCCCTTCTTAAGGGTGCTTCACAAAAATGAACATGATGAGTTCCTGTTAAGATAGCGATATTAGATAAGTGTTTGAAAACTGTGGCAAACATTACCCATTGTTGAAGTAACACATTAAAAAAAACTGTAGAACAGATTCAAGATGATATTTTAAAATGTAAGAAAGTAATAAACTAATCTATAGTGAGAGAAAGCAGATAAGCACTTGCTTGGGAATGAGAGGGCAAGGAGGGCCAAGAGGCAGAAATTACAAAGGGGCACCAGGAAGCTTTGGGGGTGATATATCTGGTCATTATCTTTTTTTTGAGAGGGCAGAAAAGCTCCCAGTGGGAGGAGACCCGAGAGAGGTGCCCTGTATCTAGTCATTATCTTGATCACAGTGGTTATTACACAGTTATCAATGTCAGTTACCAAATTGCGTATTTTAAATATGTATGTTTTAATATCATTTGTATCTTAAAGTTGCTTTAAAAATTAAAAAATTGATTCAGTTGACTGCTAAAAAAAAACTTGACCTATAGCATGGCTTACTCCAAACCTGTGATGTTAACTGTGGTTCATCTATTTCTACAAATTTAAGGCAAGGATGACTTTACTAATAAAGCTTCTAATAATGCTGTCTTAAACTTGCTTAAGCTTTTCAAATATAAGAATACTTTATGGAAAAAAAGGGCACTAAGAATTAAACAAGAAGGGCACTAAGAATTAAACACTTGATAAATGCTAGCCCAGCAATTACTTTTTCTACTACTACAATTATTACAATCAAGAAACGCAGACAGCATGAATCCATTCCTTAATGATCTAAGAAAGTCTCACCTCTTGCAAATGTCTTCTTCCCGTGTTACAACCATACTAACTCCCCAAGTTCTCTTCTCCTGTGCCAAGCTCTCATATCCTCTTATCCATCTCTATAACTTTAGGTGCTATGCTATTCTGTGCCTTGACTCTTCTGCCCTGCACTCCTCTCTAATCATCTAGCTAACTCCTAATATCTTTTAGAACTTAATTGAAACCAGGCATGGTGGCTCACACCTGCAGTTCCAACTACTCAGGAGGCTGAGGCAGGAGGACTGCTTGAGCCCAGGAGTTCAAGGAAGTAATGTGCAATGGTTGTACCTGTGAATAGCCACTGTACTCCAGCCTGGGCAACAAGTGAGACTCCATCCTATAAAAACAACAACCACTACCACCACACGCACACACTTAGTTCAGATGTTCCCTCTTCTGGAAAGCTTTCTCTAATGTTCCAAAGATGAAATTAATGCCATCTTAGATGTTCCCAGCACCATGCTCCTAATTAACTCTCAGCATAGCACACATCCCAAGGTATGATCATTTGTAAATTTCCCTCATCCTTCTGTGAGCAATCTGAAGTAGGAGCTGTGTCATTCCTGTCTAGTAAAATACCTAATCTAAAATAGGCACTCATACGACTATTAAAAAATGAACTACATGAACAGTAAATCATTTTATCTATAAACATACAATGATCAACTTGAACAAAAAAAAGCACACACAACTAACATCAACCCATTACTCTTATAGAATTCATTATTTTGAACATCCATTCCAATTTTTTAAAAGATGGAGTATTTGTAAATACCAAATATAGAATTTTTTTTCCCAAACAAAAAGTGTTAGGTCTCTTTGCACAGACCTTATTTACAAACATCTTACAGCAGAAAGAAACGCCAGTCTTATATGCAAAAAAATTTTTTTTTTAAATTTTGAGTTGGAGTCTCACTGTCGCCCAAACCGGAGTGCAGTGGCCGCTCCCGGCCACCGCGGCCTCGACCTGCTGGGCTCCGGCGATCCTTCCGCCTCCGCCTTCCAAGTAGCTGGAACTACAGACGCACGCTACCACACCCGGCTAATATTTTTGATTTATTATAGAGATGAGGTCTCGCCAAGATGCCCAGGCGGGTCTCGAACCCACGGGCTCAGGCAATCCACTCACCTCAGCTTCTCAAGGTGTGGGATTACAGGCTGAGCCACCAAATCCGGCTTAAAAAAAAAATTTTTTTTAAGTTCCCAATAAAATAGTGTTTCTAGTCAAGAAGGATCCATTTTTATCCTCAATCGTTATTATAAATATATTCTTTCAAAAAAAAGGTTACATTGCCAGATGACATTAATAAAGCTCATATTTTGAGTGTACTTTATTTCATGTTAGTAACTTACACTTTATTTTTTATTTTTACTTTTTGCGTTGGAGTCTCACTCTGTTGCCCAGACTGGAGTGCAGGGACACGCTCCTGGTCACCACAGCCTTGACCTGCTGGGCTCCAGCGATCCTTCCACCTCAGCCTTCTGAGTAGCTGGAACTACGGCATGCGCTACCACGCCCGGCTAATTTTTTTGATTTACTGTAGAGATGAGGTCTCGCCAAGTTGCCCAGGCGGGTCCGCGGGCTCAGGTAATCCACTCACCTCAGCCTCCCAAAGCGCTGGGATTACCAGACTGAGCAACCAAGA